GCACATTTGGCATTCAAAACTGGCAAGTTTTTTTTTTCCCTTTCCACTTTCCTTCTTTATATATTTCCCATGATCATTTTGTAAATTCTAGTTTTAATTTTAAAAACACTTAGGATATAAGTAAAATTTGAGTTTACAAATTTAGAACCCTGTCACATAAGTAATATTAACTGTACATTAATCAGATCATGGTTATTATCAAAGAACATCTATTAAGCATTTTTAAGATTTTGTGCAAATTACTTTACGTTAGGTGTTATATTTCCAAAAAGATTCTGACACGGGGGAATGCCTTTGCAGGAGCAGAAAGTGGTGAGTGTGTACTCAACTCTAAAACGTGTAAATGTGTGTATACATTTCCATTATGGGAATGTATTTATACCTTGCTGTAAAGACTTGCTTGACACTAGCATATTGTAATTACCTAATTATTTGCTTAATTAAATACTTTGTTGACTAATTGAATATGTGTTTAGCACAGAAGCAACTGTTCGGGAAGTAGGTCCTGGTCTCTCCAAGGACACAGTGAGATCGCTCATCACAGTCAGAGCAGGTCGCTAAGCCTTCTAGTGTTTGAGCAGTTGCACAGTCCTTCTGGGGAGGAGCAAGGAGCTAGCGGAGGCCAGGAGTGGGGAGAGGCAGTCACGGGGGAGAGCTTCAAAGTCAAACCATACAGCCTTCGGATCATCAGTCCAGTGTGTACTCACAGCAGACAAACTGCAGCTTGCGAAGCGCATGGATGTGGTTGGTAGATAAACTGAGCCCATCCGCCCGCCCTCTGCAGAAGGGACTACACAGGGCCTGGACGCCCTTACCATCCTAACTGAAAGTGACCCTCTGGAGGCCCTCACCATCCTAACTGTGACCCTTGGGCCGGTGGCAGAAACTCCCTCCACAATCATTCCCAGAGCTTACAAATTTAGAACACTGTCACATAAGTAACATTAACTGTACATTGATTAGATCATGGTTATTATCAAAGAACATTTATTAAGCACTTTTAAGGTTTGCTTAAAACTCTGGCCTGCTGATGTTCACTCATGGATATGCTGCAATGCAGCTCTAGTCCTGGTTCATCTCTCATCTCTATGGCTGATCTGTGTTCTTCTCTGGCTCTTCTTATCCTTCTGAAAGACTGGCTGTTTGATAAACATGACAGACAGTGAAGGCAATGGAAGACAATTAGCCTTACGGTGCTGGAAGCTGATGGAGGAGGAAGAAGAGGGGAGTGACAGGACAGGACTGGCATTCGCTCTCCTCCCCGCTCTCAGCAGCTCAGGGAGATCACAGCTTAGTCTGAGCCTTTCTGCCGCAGAACCAGAGGATAGAGAGAAACCCCAGACAGGGCGTCTGCAGAAGATGTAGAAGGGAATATCCACTCTGCACTTCAGCCTCTGTGCAGACTTGGAGAGTGGTACGTAGAGATCATGGTAACTCAAGACACGTTATTATTATCTGATAGAGACTCTACACATGGGCAGTTGAACTTCGAGTTGTCATCAGTAGCAAATATGGTGGTTGTGACTAGTAGCAAAGCCTTGATACAAGAAAATAGTACCTAATGAATTGTAATTGGTGTGATGATGATAGGATCATCACATGATGAAGAGGCAGATAATTAGAATGTGGACAACTTAAAAAATCAAAGACTGAGGTACTAGCTAAAAGTTTCAACAATTCCCCAAGAAAGAGGATTAGAACTAAATACTTAGGCTATCAGTCTACTCCAAAACTACAGCAACAAGTATCTGTGGGGGTAACTATTAAATACCAGGAATTGCTCTAATTGTTGAGATTACACATAGCAAGGGGAACAAAACAAAACAAAATCCCTGCCATGAGTATTCTCACGTATTTCATTTCAGCTGATTATTTTGATGGCTTGATTAAAAGAATGAGTAGAAAAAAAAATTCAAAAGTTAATTTATTAGGAAAGTGTACTGCAAAAATACAGACAGTTCTAAGAAAAAGGAAAAAAATGCATATTAATTTGACAACTTTTGGTGAGAAATACTTCTGAAGGGACTGGATTCACAACTCGCTCTGTATGAAACACAATACCATCTATGCAGGAAAGTATAGAAAATGTGATTTCCCATGAATATTTTACTAATTGTTATCTCTCTAAAAATATAATCACTGATAATCCTATCTCCCCAAGCAGTGGGTAAGATGAATTTCATAAGTCAAGTTAGAGGTCAGGCTTCAAAGCAGACAACTGGGACCCATGGCCATTGACAGGCTGTCAGATTTGGTGAACTTTCCAGCAGAGTGGCAGCTGGGGCTAATGACTGGAGGAGTACATATTGTCAGTGGGAATGTAGCACATTAGTTCCCCACAGTACACATTCTTCAGATGAGTTTGTTTGTCTTCAAGTTTGAAATGCTTAGAATAGCACTTAGATAATATTAGTTCAAAATTAATCAACAGATATTTCTTTTACTGCACTACATTGTGTTTGTCAGCTCTTCAGTATGAAATTTCACAAAGCAGGAATGTGTAACACAAAGGTATGTTGACTCAGATTTTATTGTTAACTCTTTTTCTAAGGTTTTACTAATTAATACCAGCAATATTGTTGTTGCTGTTTAGTCACTCAGTCATGTCTGACTCTTTTCTACCCCATCATGGACTCTGGCCCACCAGGCTCCTCTGACCATGGGATTTCCCAGGCAAGAACACTGGAGTGGGTTGCCGTTTCCTTCTCCAACTGGTAATATTAGAATACTTTAAGAAACTTGTGGATCCAAAGTTCATGATCCTCTCAAGAACACACTCCTGAAAGTAGACTCCTTGGAGAGTGAAACGGTACAGTGCAGGTATATGTGCTTGTGGTCACTGCTTTACTAGAAGACTTTGGATCCAGGACACACCCACTGGGCTTTGGAAACCAAATCACCTCCTATCCATATTGATGAACTGCATGCATGCATGTTAAGTCACTTCAGTCGTGTCCGACTCTATGCGACCCCATGGACAGCAGCCCACCAGGCTCCCCCATCCATGGGATTATCCAGGAGTGGGTTGCCATTTCTTTCTCCAGTATTGATGAAAAGGTGTTGTTCATTTGAAAGCAAGTGCCAATATTTTGAAAGATAGCTTTCATGTTTTTGTTAATCTCTGTCTAGTAGGTTAGTTCTTAGCTAGTATCAAGTAACAAAAAGGTTGTCTAAAGTCATTTTCTCACATTTTTTTATGTCCACAACTATCGACATTAGATATGGTGCTGAGAATGTACAGTGAAGGAAGGATGCTTTCCCAAGATCAAGGGGTGGACAGTCTTTTAGGAATGAGGGATTTGTAGGTTAATAATGACAAAAAAGGAGTATTTTTAGAAATAGGCATAATCAACATTATTGCTATATCAATATAAACGGAAAAGGGAAGAGTTAGGCACTGCCTGATTAAAGGGTTTCTTCAGCCTCCTCCTCTACAAGATGGCCCCTGGGAGTCAGAAGCCAGTTCTGTTTGATCCTGTAGCTTAGTCTCCTAGATCAGCACCTGACCTGTACTGATGCTCAGTTGGCAAGAAGGAGGGAAGGAAGGAGGGAGGGAAGGACGGGTGATGATGAAATTCTGCTCCTCGGTGGATGGCAGTTTAGTCAGTTTATGTTATATGACATCTTAGGGAAATGAACTTGAGCTTCTCTTACATCAGTGCTTATTTATGAAGTTAATTTCCTCCCCTCTTTTCTCAAATGCAGTTCAAGTTATTAATGTTAAGAATGGAGTTTAGGATGACATTTGATTTCCAAAACTTGTGTATTCATTTTTTTAAAAATCTCCTTTCTTAAAGAGAAGATCAATTGAAATATTTTTGTATTCAAAACTTAGTCGTTTTTATTGGGTCATGCCACGTATGTGCTCTTTCAATTTTAAGGTGTTTTCTTTTTCCTTTTAGAGTCATCATTTCTATTTTCCTTCTTCATACTTTCAACTGTATTTTAAGTTGTAATTTGCATTGTGATATAATTTGTTATAGAATAAAATCTAAAACTTGAGAGGAACTTTAAATATCATCTCTTGCATCGTTCTCATTTAAAATAGAAAGGATGAGGGACTTCCCTGGTGGTCTAGTGGTTGAGACTCTGCCTGCCAATGCAGGGGGCTAGGGGTTTGATCCCTGGTCTGGGATGATTCCACATGCCTTGGGGCAACTAAGTCTGAGCGCCACCACTACTGAGCTGGTGCTCTGGAGCCGGGAGCCCTGACAGGGAAGCCGTGGCAATGAGAAGCCCACACACCACAGCCAGAGAGTAGCTTCCACTCACCCCAACTAGAGGGAGCCCACTGACAGCAACAAAGACCCAGTGCAGCTAAAAATAAACAAGTACATTTAAACAATAGAAAGGTTGAGGTTGTGGGGGCTGGAATTACTTATTCAAGGTCATATCCTGTAGGGCATAGTTGAGACATTAATTCTGGTCTCCTGAATTCTTATTGTGCTGTGTGCAACCAGACGCCTTACCAGACCCTCCCTGTAGGAGTCAGAATGGGGCCTGAAATGCATTAATTTGATTTGACATTGTCCAAGGTGCTGTTGTCAGGATTCCCTGGTGGTTCAGACGGTAAAGAGTCTGCCTGCAATGTAGGAGACCTGAGTTCAATCCCTGGGTAGGGAAGATCCCCTGGAGAAGGAAACAGCAACCCACTCCAGTATTCTTGCCTGGAAAAATCACATAGACAGAGGAGGCTGGTGGGCTGCAGTCCATGGGGTCACAGAGTTGGACATGACTGAGCAACTTCACTTCAAGGTGCTGTTGTCAGCTCATTTTGAAGGGTAATGCTTTGGGAAATATAATAAAGAGTTCCAGGTAAGTATTGCAAGTACCAAGCAAAGGTTCTGAAGGCTGAGCAAAATCTACTTGCCAATTTGATTTCACAAACAGTTCTTTATCACAGTCGTGCGAGAGCTAACTTGAAGTTTCATGTACATTTTGTGTCTTTACCATACAGATGAAATCCTGTAGAAAATAACATCATCTCTGTGTATTTCTAGCAAGAACATGTGGATCGAATCTGCGTGGACCCAGTGGTGTCATCACCTCTCCTAATTACCCGGTTCAGTACGAAGACAATGCTCACTGTGTGTGGGTCATCACTACGACGGATCCTGACAAGGTAAGACTCTCAGCTCTCCTCTGTAAACATCTGACGAACTCAGCTCTCTACCTGGGCAACTGTTTACCGTGAACACTCTGGTGAGTGGCATGCACCCTCGCGTCTTGTTTGAATTGAAATTCTGCTGCTGCATGGAGTGTCTGTCTATCCGCCTGTATTGGAAAGCCTATCTAGGATTCAGTTATGAAATATTCTGAGTGTGCTTACCTCCTGCTGCTTTTGAAGGTTACATCTATGTTATGGTTTTATTTCCAGTTCGATCATCATATAACCATTGACATACAACCTGTTTAGTGTAAGGTGTGCAACATAATGATTTGATATGTATTTATATTGAAAACTGATTACCATAATGTTTAGTTAACATGTATCATCTTGTATAGTTAAAATATTTTTTCTTGTGATGAGCACTTTTCATCGCAGTAGCAGTCAGTTATCAGTCAATGACCTCTGGGTGGAATGCAGGGAGTGAATGAGGATGCTCTGTGGGCAGGTGGTTTTGATTCTCTTAACACTCTATACACATGGCTTCCCCTTGCAGCACCTGCTGCAAGGGGAAAGGAGAAGGAATCCAGAATGGCTTTGGGGTGGGTAGTGAAACCCTGACCAGAATGGGCACAAGGTCCAGCCTCCCGGGAGAGTCCCAGTGAACATCCACTGTCCTCGCATAACTACCGATGATTACACTCTTCTTTGTTCTCCTAATCATCCTAGGTTGGAACACTTAGATTCTAAGCTCTCTCTACCTGAAAACAGGGAAAGGGCCTCAGAAACCAGCCCTTTATGGGAAGAGAGAATGGGTTTGGCTCTGGGTGCAGTGAGAGTGAGGGGCTTGCTGTATCTCCAAATGTGTGTCCCTCATAGAGGTCAGCTCGGGATTCCCAGGTGCGTCCTTAGCTGCCGAAACCTGGGATGAGTGTGACATCATGCAGAGAGGCCAGAAAGAGCTGAAGTGAGTCCAGCTGGTGGCATCACGTTTCCCTCAGGGCCGTCCGAGGGTGCACTGGGCTCCACAGACATGAGTGATGGTGCTCTTGCAAGCAGAAGTATCCACGTCAAGTTCTGAAATGCTAAATTCTTGTATGGATGATGCCCTGGCATTTCAGCAGGAAAGCAGCAGCTCCAGATGAAATCTTCAGGGAATTTGGTTAACTCCCTCCCAATAGTTTAAAATTCATTTACATCCAGATTACATATGGATAATCATAAATATTTTCCTATAGGAAAGATACCCCATATATCTGTGTCTCTATTTCTTTTCTGCTGTCAACTGAAAAAAGGCACAACCTGAAAGCTGAGGATTAGTATTGTTTGGAAGGCGTACAGAGGACATAGGGGCCTCCCTGGAGGCTCAGTGGTAAGGGAACCGCCTACAGTGTAAGAGATGCAGGAGACGTGGATTCGATCCCTGAGTCAGGAAGATCCCCTGGGGGGCAGAATGGCAACCCACTCCAGTATTCTTGCCTGGAGAATCCCATGGACAGAGGAGCCTGGGAGTCAGACTTCTCTGACTGAGGAGACACGACTGAGTGACTAAGCACGCATGCACGCACGCAGGATGTAGGCCCATGAGACAGGCTCTCAGATGACTGCGGGCAGCTGTTCAGGGCAGGTCAGGGAGGAGTCAGGACATATAGCAGTTTTGGGGAAAAATAGGTAGTCAAATATCAAAAGATTACTGTTAATGGAAGAAGAGCATACATTTGAATTTAGTGAATTTTAGCTCTTTTCTATAGTTGGGAAGATGCAGAGCCTGGACTCAATGGAATTCCTGCTTGGATGTGCATCTTAACCTTCCAGGGCGAGTGTCCTGCTTTCCTCCACCCTGAGTGCCCCCATGGGACAGAGGCTGGTGGCTTGATGGCCAGAAAGTCCTTCATTTACTGACGTGGCAGGCGACATTCTCAGTCCACATTCTATATACTAGAATGACCGAAATCTCTATGTAGACAAAAGCAGCTTAGCGTTACTGTTGTCTAAACCCTTCACTCGACAGCAAGGAAGCTGAGACCCAGGAAGGTAAGATTTCAGAGCTGTTTACTCCTATTGCAGGATGGAAACATGTGTGCTCTCTGCACAGTTCTGATAGCCTCTTCGTCAGCTTTCTTCCTCCTGGAAGAAGAGGCATTTCTTTTGCAGCTATCTGTCCCATTATCACTTTGATGAGAACCACAAGGAAATGAAACAGTAGGTTATTCAGTGTGGTGATAGGATGCTCTTGGCTGTACATAATAGAAGAGCTGACTAAAAGCCAAACGTTTTTAGGGAAATGTTGTTTCATGCAATGAAAGGTCAGAACCAGGGAGATTCCAGGTTTAGTTAAGGAGCTGAGGGTTCTGGTGTGTGCCTTTCTGCTCTGCTCTGCTTTCTGAGCAGTGGTCATATACCCTTCATGTCTCAAGATGCTACTATACCATCATGTTCAATGCTCAAGGAAGCAATGCTGTATGTCTTCCTGAGAAGTGGCAGGAATTGTCTTGAAACTCCTAGATGGTCCCCTTAAGACCACCTGAGCTAGATGTCCACACTCAAGATGTTGAGCAGCTGGAGGAGAGAACCATCTGGAAGTCAGAGAAAGGGCCGGTGGTTGTTGGTGACAAGTCATGTCTACCACACAGACAAGCAAAAGGTTGAGGGAAGAGTTTTCCGTTATCACCAGATTCTTCTTTTGCTTCTGAAATGTTTCACATCCCATTATCTGCCTGTTCCACTGGACACCAGTGGGCTAACATTAGTTAAAACTCATGAAATTTGTCCCTTGATGTTTTGAAGTTGACTTTAAAACCTGGCCAATCTGCAAAATGACAAATGAAATAGTGAATTTATGCAGTTTGGGTTTATGGATTTCTCTCATTATACAAGTTCACTTTTCTCTCTCATGTTTGGGCACACTTACATAGGCTTTTGTAAAGACTTCGTATATATTGTGTTGATTCTGAACACATAACAGTTAACAAGTTAAATTTCAGGAATTTTGTGTTACACTGCTCCAGAAATTTCTTTGCCTTCCTCCATTTATTTTGGTGACATGCTCAGAGAACAAGCAAAGCTTCCTCCGCATGGATAGGCTCACACGGATCCTCAAACAAGAGCACCACTTAGACACCTGAAGGCATCTCAATTAAGCGGAATTACCATCCAAATTAAGCAGCAGACATTGCCATTAAGCATAATTAGGCCTAATTTGATTCCTTGGGAGACATTCCAAATAAGGGGGTTTCCCGATTAAGTTCGTGGTGATGAAGGTATATTACATTTTGAGCGTAAGAGTAAAGAACAGTTATGTCAAGATTTCCAGACAACAGCTCTTGCTAGAATACTAACAGCATTCTAGACAAGAAGGGTTGGTACACCTCGATGTGTTGTTTGACATGCTTTGTAAATTTTAAGAAATAGGGTAGAATAGAAATCTAAAATCGATTTCCAAATTGATGAGTCAGTGAGAGATGAGTTAATAAACTCCTCTTTTGTTGAAAGATTAGCCCTCTCATGATGACTTACACTCCTTCCTGGTCTTAGACCTGCTTTGACAATTATATAACCATGTTCCATGTGTCAGTTTATACCAAGTGTTAACGTAAAATAGCTCATACAGAGTAGTCATTGGGGGAAGTTCTTTGTGTCTCTTAGTAAAGTATGTTGTAATTTATAAGATTGGGGAATGCCAAGTTAAATCCATTCACTTACGTGTGTTTGTTTATACATATAATTATCAAAATGCATATTAAGTTTAGGTACATATATAATGCATATTTGGACAATTACACATGTTAATATGTGTATTATATCAATATGCATATATTAGGAGAACATGCTATGTAGGCAGAAAGTTTAAAAGACATTTTAAACTTTAGTTCCTCAAGAAGATTCAATTTAGTAGAGAAGTGGGTTTCAGAACACTCAATTGTATTGTTCTTGCTGAACTCGCCTAGTAGAAATTCAGTAAAAATTAACACAGTAATGTGATATTTATTAATATATTTCATTATAGATACATTCAGCTATCCATATTTTCCAGATAAAACTCTTGAGGATGCCTGTGATCAAACTCTTAAGAAAGTGATCTGTGGTTAGTGAACCACAGATTATGGGAACGTTTAGCAAATGCTCTCAAACATTTATCACTGCAGTTTTCATTGAAAGGATTAAACATGGAAGACAGCTTTCCTTAGAATCCTTTGATAAATGGATATTGTGCATGTGTTTTTCTCAAATACATTTGGCTGGCAAAATTTCAGTACCTAATTTTAATTTGAGCTCTTCAGAAAGTAGTGTTTTTGTTGGTGTTAAACTCAGGATTGAAGTGATTTAAGGCATTTGAACTTTGTCTTATGGGGTTCATCCATTGAACTTTGTGTTATGTGGTTCGTCCAGGCTGCTATAACAAAATATCGCAGACTAGGTGTGTGATACGAAAAACAGATGCTTAATGTCTAACAGTTTTGAGCCCCAGTGTTTCCTTACGGTGTTAACAGCTCCCGCTTCTGAAGGTTGTTGTGAAGAGTATAAAGTCAGTGTAAAGCACCTGAGCATATTTCTCCAGATACTGCACAAACACCTCCCTCCTCCACCTCCTCTCAGTTCTGCCTCCTTCTCCTCCTCCTCCTCTTTCCGTTATTACTAATGACTAAGCTCAACAAACTATAAATGGAACCTGCAGGGCAGGCGTCAGTGCCGGGTGTCCCGGGGAAGGACATCATACTGCCACTGTGTCTTAGAGGTCATTCTGCCCACAGTCACCTGCACAGATCTGAAGGTCACAAGACTGGAAGTGGGAGACCTCAGGACAGCATCTCAGTTATGAGACAGTAGGGACTTACATGGGGCTTCAGGTGCTGCTTATGAAGAAGCCGGCTGCCAGTGCAGGAGATGCAAGAGTCATGGACCTGCTCCCTGGTTCGGGAAGGTCCCCTGGAGGAGGAAATAGCAACCCACTCCAGTATTCTTGCCTGAAAAATTCCATGGACAGAGGAGCCTGGAGGGCTATAGTCCATGGGGTT